AGGAAATTTTCCTCATAAATATGATTTTGAAATGTTAATATTTTTATGAAATAGAAATGCTTGTACTGGATCTGTGGTCATTTGTGGCTTCTGGTGTTTTCTACCTTCCATGTTTTCACCTCCTAAATCTCATTATATGATAGCTGAAGATATTATCACTTTAAAATATTATTTTCCTTAGAAGAAATAGGCACAGCTGAGGTCAAGGGAAATTGATAGGGATCTTCTGTGTCTGCAAACATAACCTGTTCCACTGAGCACTAGTGAGAAACATCTTTCTTTGTAGCATGTTAGGATTTCTTCTGCTGACAGGTGAATATGTTATCAAGTATGCATTCCATAATGACATCTTAAAGTTTTTAAAAACCTCAGTGATTAAATAACATTTTCTTCCATGAAAATTGTAAGATCAAATTTTAATGCCTAAGTTTAACTCAACATTCTTCTATTCTCATCTTTTAAATTGAATCAGTACTTAAGGTATCATTTTTCTTGAATTGCCTTTCTGCATATAGAATTCTTTTTTAAATCTGTGACGTGGTAGGTAAAAAGGGAGGACAAAAGACCATTGCTTTTTTCAGCAGATTTTGCAATTTTAAAAGAAGTTTTAAAACACTGCCAGTTTGACATGTATTTGATATGTATCTGAGAATTGAAATATTTAACTCTATTATTAATTTATTCTTTTATTCGGAAACCCGCACAGCATTTGAGAGATTTGATATTATCTATCTCTTTTTCAGTCAAGCTGGTTACTATTCAGATACCCATGTATTCTGGGCGTTCTAAATACCTGGACCTCTTCATAACTGATATACCACTTCTGTGATCTGTGTTTGCTAAGTGCAAACCAGCACTTTTTTGGTAATACATGCATGCATGCATACATACATACATACATAAATTGGCCTTCCAGTATCAATTTGCACATCTAGTATGCGAAGTTCGCAGAATGACCACAGGTAAAAGAAAGTGTATGTACTCATGTTGCATACATTGAATTCACTGACTGTGTTTGTTTAGCTTAATTCAACACTATTTGTGTTTCTTTGTCTTTAATAATATTGCGGTGGAGATAAGAACTATACGTAAGTGTGGTGGCTTGACCTTGGCCAGCTGTCAGACACCCACCCAGCTGCTCTCTCACTCTCCTTCCTCAACAGGACAAGGAGAGAAAATGAGATGAAAAAGTTTGTGAGTTGAAATAAAGATGGGGAGATCCCTTACCAATTGCCGGCACTGGCAAAACAGGCTCAACGTTGGGAAATTAATTTAATTTATTGCCAGTTAAAAGTAGAGTAGGATGGTGAAAAACAAAGACAAAAACTAAAACATCTTGCCCCACCCCCTCTTCCCAGGGTCAACATCCCTCCTTCATTCCCAACTCCTCTATCTTCTCCCCCATGAGTGGCGCAGGGGATATGGGGAATGGGAGTCTGTCAATGACAGTTCCTCTCTGCCATTCCTTCCTCCTCACACTTTTCCACTGCTCCAGTGTGGGTCCCCTCCATGGTCTGCAGCCCTTCAGGCTAAACCTGCTCGAGCATGGGTCCTCCGTGGGCATTAGTTCTTGTAATGAGAATCTGCTCGAGCATGGGCTCTCTGCAGGTGGCAGTTCCTTCAGGAAATATCCACCTTGCTCTGGCACAGGGTCCTCCGTGGGCTGCAGTGTAGGTATCTGCTCCAGTGTGGTCCTCTCCACAGGCTTCAGGGAAATACCTCCTTCACCATGGTCCTCTCCATGGGCTGCAGGGAAATCTCTGTTCTAGTGCCTAGAGCACCTCCTCCCCCTTCTTCTTCTCTGACCTTAGCATTTCCAGGGTTGTGTCTCACACCTTTTTCCCTCACTCCTCACTGCTGGGGCAGCGTTTTGCCCTTTCTTAAATATGCTTTCACAGAAGCACCACCAGCTTCACTTGATGAGCTCAGCTATGTCCTGCAGTGGGTCCACTGCAGAGCAGCCCCTGACCTCTTCTCACAGACACCACCGCAGCAGTGCCCCTCCAGTACCAAAACCTTGTCACCAACACCCAGTACAGTAAGATGGAGGGAAAGAACATAAAGGGTTGAAAAAGAGGTCCACAAATACAGAAATTTGTTTTGTTTTGTTTCTTACTATGGTTAACTTCTTTGTTTCTTTTAGTATCAGTTCAACTACAATAAAGTTAATTTGTGGTTATCACTTTCCTAAACAAATGACTAGAGCGATTTTCTGAAAGACAAACTGAATGCATTGGGAGGAGGATGTAAAGTGTGTTTTCAGTCTCTAAAAACAGATACAGAGAGATCAGGCTTGTATTTCTGAACTCTTGTAAGATGAAAGGGGCAAAGAACAGTGCAGATGAGTAATTGGTTTTTTGGCTGTGTATACGGTGTGTAGCATGCTGAAAATACTCTTCTTACATTAAGGAGGGCATTCTTTGTATACTTTTCCTTCTCACCTGTTGAATTACTTACACATTTTTTAATAATCTCATTTTTTAAATCCTGCAAAAATATTGTTATTTCCTCTTACCTGTTTACTGAACAGCCTTGTTTCGATTCGGACTATAGTTAAAGTGATGAGAAGGTCTTCTCCTATCACTGAGATTGTATCTTCTTTGTCATTATGGGTTATGTTCCTTTTTGAAAAGTTGCCTATTTGCAACTTCTTGCACACCACTACTCTCTACTAGTGACAAATGCTGTTTGATTAAGTATTTACTTAGTAAATAATCAGGAACAACATTTACTAAACAGTGTGAAATGTTTCAGTACCTTTGTTCTTGAGTGGCTGCTGTGGTTTATCCTGGCAGGCAGCTAAACACCACACAGCCATTTGCTCACCCCTCGCCCCCAGTGGGATGGGGGAGAGAATCTGAGAGGGGAAAAAAAAGTAAAATTCGTGGGTTGAGATAAAGACAGTTTAATAGGACAGAAAGGAAGGGAAAATAATAATAATAATGATAAAAGAATATACAAAATAA